GGAATATTTGACGTGCCGGCAACACCAACCCAAATACAACCATGACCTTTTCTTCCAACATAACCTTCATAATGCATCGGCCGTCGCGCAGATTATCAAGGGTCGCCTTATCTGCTGCATACAACAGGGCGGATAACGGAAAACATGCTACTGCTGGCGCCTTCCTTCTTTCTTTTACATCTGGTTCTCTTACTCGCATACAGACCCCCAATACAAAATTTTCAACTGTAATTCCCTGCATAATTGACAGCAACCGGTGCCACTGGAGTAGAACCATCTGCAGTCACCTTTCCGGAACACGCACCGCACGTCTATCAACAACAGCCCTCATAAGGCCACGCTAACCCGTTTCCATGGCGCCGTTCAAAGTTCGCACTCTAAGACAAACAGGTCAACAGGCTGCACTCGTCCGCATCTTTGACACACTGGGTATTGATGGGTGTTGTATGGCCGAAACTAGGATCAATGACCCTAATGGGGTTGTTGAATTAACTGCACCCGGCTTATCTTCTCGTTAATGGTTGCACGCATCCGGAGACGCTGATGCAGCACTCACGGGTCAAGCTGGTGTAGGTATCGTTCTAAGCTCCAAGGATGAGCCATCGTTGGTTGATTGCATTCCGGTGAACAGGCGTTTATGTGCAGCCCGTTTGACGACATCAGCTAAGGTTGATTCACGAAGTAGTACAAAACACTGTCTGTTTGTGATTTCTGCTTATGCTCCCACCGACTGCAGTTCTAATGCAGTCAAGGACACTTTCTATCACAAAATGCACGCTCTACTACGCAGTGTTACTAGTTCAGATATAATAATACTTGCAGGGGAGATGAACGCACAAGAACGGCGCCAGACCTCCTCAGCAACTCAGAAGGGTGGTAATCGTGGACATAACTCCGAACGGACTGACAACGGCGAGCGTCTGCTGCAACTGTGTGCGGAGCACCAGTTGTTTCTTGGTACCACTGCTTTTAGACACAGTGGGCGCCGAAGTGCCACTTGGCGTCCACCTGTAGCTGGCCAGCGATGGACCCAAATTGACCACACAGTCATAAGTTACAGGTGGCGCGGTTCCATCCTGGATTGCCGCTCTTACTGGAATACTTGCCTCGACTCTGATCATGCCTTGGCACGCTGTCGTTTCTCCATGAACTTCACCGGGAGGCGCACCAAGTGCCCGTACGATTAACAACGGAAAAATTATCTCAGTTCTCGGTCAGGCAAGCCTATCAAGAAGCACTGAGTCCTAATGACACTGAGCTTCAGTGGAATAGGATCTCGACCGCCATGCACGACGCAGGAGCATCTGCTTGTGGCACTATCCATCGTCACCGCACCAGTCACTCGATATCCGAGTGGTCCGTGAACCTGTTGGAAGCTAGAAGAACCCTCCCGGCTGGTTCTGAGCACAATGTGACCAGACGGGCTATTAGGCGCAAACTTAAGCGGAGCCTACGTGCTGACAAGGAAGCCTGGTGGACCAGTAGGGCTCAAGAAATGGAGGGGGCAGGAGCAGTAGGCAATGATCGCAAGCTCATCCATCTAATCCGCACCACTGCTCCGAGAAAACCAGGCGTCAGTGAGACAATCAGAGACAGCGCGGGTGCGCTGATACACAATAAGGAGCGCCGTATAGCTCGTTGGGCGGAACACTTTCAAGATCAGTTCAGCTGGCCCACTGCTCCCGGACCTCTTCCTACACAGGTGATGCAGGACGAGCCATGGACGGTTAGTTTAGAGCCTCCGTTGGAGGCCGAGGTCCGAAATGCGATCACAGCTCTCAATCGTTTTCGTGCCGCTGGCCCGGATTCCCTCCCACCTGCAAAACACTAACCTCCCTAATCAAACGTATCTTGAAAGAAGTGTCCCGGCTGATTGGAGCGAATCGATTATAGTGACAATATACAAGAAGGGCAGTCGCACAGACTGTTCTAACCACAGGGGTATTAGTCTAACGCCAGTTGGGACAAAAGTACTGGCCTCCATTCTCGATCATCACCTCGCTGTGGAACGCGAATCTCGGATTAGGGAAGATCAGGCCGGTTTCCGCCCATTGTGTGGCTGTATAGACCATATATTCACTTTGAGGTAGGTGCTAGAGCAACGCCACGCAGACCGCAGACCGACAATAGCTGTGTTCCTCGATTTCAAAAGTTCACTCGATTCAGTCGATCGATCGATTCTGTTCGAATTACTTGCGCGAAAAGGTGTTCCCACGAAATATATGAACATCCTAAGTGCTATATATTCAAACACTACAGGCCGCGTCAGTGTCTACGGCGGTTTATCGGATAGGCTTCCGACCACAAGTGGCGTTCGTCAGGGTTGTCCGATTTTCCCGTTTTTGTTCAATCTCGTCGTGGATTTTATCATGGACTGTTCCCTTGCGGAATCTCACGATGTAGGCGTTGAATTGCTGCCTGGTGAAAGACTACTTTATCTTGATTATGTGGACGATATCGTCTTGCTTTTCGATAATGTTGAGGCGGCACAGTCAAACCTGAATATCCTGTCCAGAGTCGTCCCATCATTTGGTATACACTTCGCACCGTCAAAGTGTTGTTGCAGGACCTACAGCCACTTTATGACCCCTTGACCCTTGCTAACGAGCAACTCGAGGTGGTTGATCAATTCACTTATCTTGGCAGCTGCATCAACCATGATGGGCGCATAGATACTGACGTCAGCTCAAGCAGTGCAAAAGCAGAACTGACTTCAACCTGAGGCATCGTTGACGACAGAAGGAAGTTTCCCCCCGTCTGAAAGGCCGTGTATAAAAAGCCAAGGTGAGGGCCTTTCTGTCCAATGGTAGTGAAACTTAGCCCCTTCGGTCTGAAAGACCTGAAGCGCCTTCAAGGCTTTGATCATCGTTGTCTGCGAAGCATTGCTGGTGTCGGATGGCACCAGCGTGTCCGCAACGATGATGTGCGTAGATAGGTACTACGTGGTGATAATCATGCTAGCTCCCTAGAACAACAGATAGCACTGAATAAGTTGCGTTGGCTCGGGCACGTGCTACGCACGCCTGGTCACCGCTTACCTAGGAGGGCCCTGTTTAGTCCGCCAGGTGTAGGGTGGCGCAAGGCTCGAGGTGGACAGAAGTTGACTTAGCAGCGGGAAATGAAGTCACTGACGACCAAACCGGGTGTCGTTGGTCCGTCTCGCTTTCCGAGCTGGAGTCCACGTGACTCGAGACTTTACAGGACATGCCTCGCAACCGACACCAGTGGCGCGTCTGCTGCCACCTCCTAATTGGATTGCCTGTTTAAAGTGTTTGTGGTGCTGAGTTATCTGCGGGGTAACGGCTGATTATGATGCGGGGCAGTGAAAGCCGCAAGGAAGCTGTCTCGCCAAAGCCGCATTATCTTCGCACGATAGCCAGCTGCTTGAGACAGTATGGTGTCTTCACAAGATGTAGGCGCCTTGGCCTTAAATGTTTCCTAAGGTCATTAGAGTTTTCAGGTAAACCCCCATATCTCCCTAATCTTATACTTTGTTTTAAAGGTCATCGCGGTGGTATGGCAGCGAAGCCCCATTTCACACAGCTAATGTATTGCTATTGTTAATGCTTCATCGTTGACTTCAGACCTTATTTTAGTAAAGCCCCTCGAGTTCGTGACTGAAGTTTCGCACGGTGCGCCTCTAGGGTCCAGCGATCACGCATGCATATCTTTTCGGTGTGCTCTTCCAACGCACCACCGTTGAATTACTTCCGAATATTTGGCGGGCGGACTTTAGTGCAATACTAGCTAAGGCTTCAGTTGTGAACTGTAAGATCTCGATGACCGACTCTGTCCAGTTAGCCTGGGATAAATTTAAGGCATACCTTCCGGAGATTTCCACACCCTATATTCCATTCATGAGGAAAAGAGGCTTACGGGCATAACCTCCATGCACAGATACCACAGGCAAGTATCTACTCAAGAAACAGTCTAGATGCTGGCGAACCTACCAAGCAGCTCCTTCAGCCAGTAC